AGATGGATAAAGCATGCCATTTCTGTTTTTCCTTCTTGAGATTTTTTGCTTTTCAGAAACACACACGCTTACACCACTGCCATCTGACACTTCCTGCCATGCTTTCATCTTGAAAACGTGAATTCTATTTCGAGTACTCCAGGCTTACGTTTAAATGACAGTGCCTTAACAAGAGAAAAAAAATTGTGCTGCATTTTCCCTCTTGTTACCTGAAAACATAATGGGTGTACATATATTAAATATATTCTTACAAATGTCCAGTCACGTTTACCAGCTGGAATTCTTTTACTTAATGTGTGGGTATTTGCATTGTGATATTTAATCAAGACATTTATATGAGTAGAAGGTTGTTGATTTAAGACAAATTTGAGAGCCTCTAAAATTAATTGTTGTATGTTTGTCCTTCTGGTGGCTGTGGAAGCTTCATATTTTCTTTGGACATCATTAGACGTCGTAGCTCTTGAAGGACGACTTTAATGCTGTAAGAGTTTTGCCATTTTGCTAACACTGGTATGCTCCGTGCATCCACCTGCAAGGGGAGAAGAGCACAGCTGACCTCTGGGTTTGAAGGATCACAACACCACCTTTCTGGCAGACTTTTAACTTTGGAACATTCACGGCCTGACACTATTTTCAGAAAAACTACACTACGTAATTATAGGTTCACACTTAGCATAACATTTAGGGAAAATACATTCCTTCCTTAACAGATGTTTCCTAAAAATCTAGATCTTGTGTGTGTTTTTCTGTATTTTATAATAAACAGTTAGTGAACTTTGGTCATCAAAAATAAACACTATATTAAACTACTACTCTGTAAACGTACTGACCAATTCTGTCTTGATGAGACATTGCTGGACGGTCCCTCTCCATCTCTAGTGCCATTAGCGAAAATCTGGCAATTATGGCCCATACAGAGATGTGAGAACTGCTGACCTGATCTCTGCTTTCAGATTTTTTCTTTCCAATGTATTCTATGCACTATCCTACAAGAGCTAAAAAGGGCAGCAAGTGGCATGATGGGTTAGGGGCGCCAGACTCCCACATGGCCGACTGAGGTTCGAGTCCCGGACCTAGCGGCTTGCTTTCTCACTTTCTCTCTCCCACCCCACTCTATCCCTCTCTGGTCAAATTAAAATAACTAAATAAAATTTTTAAATAAATAAATAAATAAATAATGAAATAGCCTTAAGCAAGGACAAAAAGAATGGGCAGGAGCTCCTTTAAAGCCCCATCACCTGGGACCAGCAGGTGGCGTGGTGATTAAGGCGCTGGACACTCCACATGGCCGACCAGGGTTCGAGTCCTGAATCTGGTGGCTTGCTTTCTCACTTCCTCTCTCTCAACCTCTGTCTCTCTCTGGTCAAATTTTAAAAAATATAAATGAATGAATAAATAAAAATAATTTAAAAAAAAAAAAAAAGCCCCATCACCAAGTAACTATCAGCAACTGACCTCAGTTACAGGGCCTGAAAAACCCTATCCACAGAGCTTTCCTTTATCAGACCTCAGGGCTCGCCCTCCCCCACTTCCACCCTGGTCTGAATGGGGCAAACAAGGTGACCAAAATACTTAAGTAGACAAGCTGGGAAATGAGAGATCCAAAGTGGTGTTGAAAGGCTCCAACATATATGCCTGGGAGTCCAGAAAGCCACAAACATGTAGAGGCTTTGCATGGGCTCACAAAAGACCTTGGAGGGCCATAAACTCTCAGCAACACATAAGATTATACAACAAGCAAGATTTACTCCAAAATGAAAGATAGGCTCAATATTTAATTAAATCAGAGTAATACACCATATTAACAGAACAAACAAAAACCATGATCATCTCAGTAGATGTAAAAAACATTTGACAAAATCTGACAACCTTTTATGATATAAATGGTCAAGAAACTGGAAATGGAAAGGAACTGCCTTCAACATACAGCTAACAGCATACTTAAAGGTAAAAAACAAATGCTTCCCTCCTAAGATCAGGAAGTAGACATGGATATTCATTCTTATCTTCCTATCATACTGCCTGAGAGGACAATTAGACAAGATGAAAAAGAGATCAGATCGGAAAGAAAGAAGTAAAAATGTCTCTAGTTGCAGATTACATCATCTTATATACAGATAATTCTAAGAAATCCACTGACAAAACTATCAGAGTTCAGCAAGGCTAAAGGATACGAGATATACATACAAAAGCTGATTTCTGTTCACTTGCAGAAACAATTTGGAAGCAAAATAATGCCATTTGCAATATGATAAAAAGGAATACACATGTAAAAAAATTAACAGAAGACTTTGTAAGATAATATTCCTCAAACTAATGTATAGATGCAACAGCGTCCCTATCAAAATTTCAACTACAGGGAACCAGCAGTTACCATAATGGCTATGTCGCTGGATTCCCACGTAGTCGACCGCGGTTCACGTCCTGGACCTGGTGGCTTAGAACTCACACCGGGCGCGTGTGTGTGCGTGCCCAAGATCCCGAGAGGAGAATGGAGGGGAAAGGACTGCGGCATGGCCATCCCCCCCGGGGGGTGATTTCTCGCTTTCTGTCTCTATGTCTCTGTCTGTCTGGCGAATGCACGCACCCTATAGCAAAAACCTCTCAAAAAAAAAAAATTTCAACTACAAACTTTTAACAAGCAAAATGATAGTGACTGAATGTTTAAAAAAAATAATGAGATGGCACCATCAGTTGGCGTAATGCCTATGTCACTAGACTCCCATGTCGTTGACTGCGGTTCAAGTCCCAAACCCGGCAGCTTAAAGTCCGGCTGAGCACACGTGTGTGCATGTGTGTCCAAGATCCCGAGAGGAGGGACCAGAAGTTAGCATACTGGCTATGTCGCTGAACTCCCAAGTAGTCGACCGTGGTTCGAGTCCCAGACCCAGAGGCTTAAACTCACGCTGGGCGCGTGTGCGTACATGCCCAAGATCCCGACAGGAGAAAGAAGAAGGGATTGCAGCGTGGCCATGCCCCCGGGGGGTGATTTCTATCTCTGTCTCCTTCTGTCTCTGTCTGTCTTTCTGAGGAGCGCAAATGCCCTGTAGCAAAAACCTCTTTAAAAAAAAAAGATCCCGAGAGGAGAATTGAAGGAGAAGGGATTGTGGTGTGTCCATTCCCCATGGGGGGGAGGGGGAGGTGTGATTTCTCACTTTCTGTCTCTCTTTTGTCTTTCTGGTGAGCGCGTGCACCCTCTACAGCAAAAACCTCTCCCAAAATAAATAAATAAATAAAAGTAAAATAATAGTGATCTGGGGGGAAATGATAAAAAGCTATTTGATGATGTGGATAGTAATGTCTTTGTCTTGACTAACATGCATGGTATTCCTTCTGGAAAAAGAAATGCAATACACTGTAAAGCTATATGTGATTCAATGTAATATAAACAAGATTATAATAAAAAAAATTTCAACTACAGAGGCCAGCAGGTAGTATTGTGGTTAAGACACTGGACTCTCATATGGCCAACAGGAGTTCAAGTCTTGGAGCTGGTAGCTTGAAAAATCACACTAGAGGTGTGTGCGTACGTGCCCAAAATCCCAGAAGAATGGAGGAAAAAGGAGAAATCACCCTCTCACTTTCTGTCTCTTTCTTGCTCTGTCCCTCTGGTGACCGCACATACCCTACAGCAAAAAATCTCGCTAAAAAAAAAAAAAAAATGCATGTGGCGCACACCTCAGGAAAACCAGGTCTTCTCAGTATGAGCTGCCCGCTCGCCTTGTGCTTTGTGCTCCTTGCTTTGTGCTTTGCAAAGCAAGCAAAGCTGTACTTGTCTTCATCACACCATGTGCCTATCGTTTGGTTTATAGTGCTTAAATGAGCCAGCAGTATTTGAGTTCAGTCACAGTCTTTGGGCAACAGCCTGTGAGAAAAGAAGCCCTCAATCCCTAAGCCCAGAAGGAACTGAATTATCCAATGATTGCATGAGGGAGCTTGGACATGGATCCTCCTTCAGTGCAGGAGACCAAACAAGTAACATCTTGATTTCAGGCTGTGGGAGACTCTTGGCTAAGCTGAACCCACATTCCTCACTCCAAACACTAGGAGGCAAGAAATGTTTTCTATTTTAAACTGCTTTTATAAAATAGGCGAAGAATCTGAATAGACATGTCTCCAAAGAAGAAAAAAGTAGCCAATAAACATCTGAAAAGATGCTCAGTATCAAATGCACATCAAAACCACAATAAGACACCATTCACACCCACTAGGATGGCTAGAATCAAAGACAGACAAGGGGCCAGCAGGAGGCATGGTGGTTAAAGGCACTGGATACCCACAGGGCTGACTTCAGTTCAAGGCCTGAACCTTGTGGCTCGCTTTCTCACTCGCCCTTTCTCTCTGTCTCTCTCTGGTCAAATAAAAAAATAACAACAAATTAAATAAACATTTAAAAAATAACCTTAATATTGTTTTTAAAAAAAGGCAGACAGGGCGTGGTGGCACCCGCCCTATGGCAAAAACCTATGGAGGCTGGAGGATTGTGGCATCGAGTCCATCTCACTCTCTCTCTCTCTCTCTGTCTCTCTCAGCCAGTGCACGATTTTTTGGGAACCAGCAATTAGCGTAATGGCTATGTCGCTGGACTCCCACGTAGTCGACTGCAGTTCGAGTCCCGGACCCGGTGGCTTAAAACTCACGCCGAGCACGTGTGCGTGCGTGCCCAAGATCCCGAGAGGAGAATGGAGGAGAAGGGATTGCGGCGTGACCATCCCCCCTGGGGGGTGATTTCTCGCTTTCTGTCTCTATGTCTCTGTCTGTCTGACGAGCGCACACACCCTATAGCGAAAAAAAACTCTCCAAAAAAAAAAAAAAGGGGGGCAGACAATAAGCAGTATTAACAAAGATGGGGCAAAGTTCAAACCTTCATACACTATCATTGGGAATGTAAAATGGTCCGTTTGCTTTAGAATACAGTCTGGCAATTCCTCAAAAAGTCAAACACAGAGTTAGGATATGACCCAACATTTCAAATAACAGGTATATGTCAAAAAAATAAATAAAAATATGTGCCCACACAAAAATAGCAGCATGATAGTCGAAAGTGAAAAATATAAATGTCCACCAGCAGATGAATGGATAAACAAAATGAGATACACTTGTAGAGTATTACTCAGCAATGAAAAAGAATGAAGTACTGCCTAAGTGCTGGTACACAAGTACAGGGTGATGGGAAGCCACAGGGGAAGGCCCCAGGTCTGCAAGCCAATGACTCCCTGTACACTCTACACCATCCTGCTTGGCTGAGGCTGGGGATGGGTCACAGCATTAGAACCCTGTTAGGGTGCCCACTCCTCCTCTTTCTCTCTCTCTCTCTCTCATGAAAGAAATTAATAAACTTGAAAGATTTAAAAAAAAAAAAAAGAACCAATACATACTGATACAACCTTGAAAGTGTTACATTAAGTCACCAAAGAACACATAGTAGATCATTCCATTCAAATGAAATATCCAGAAGAGGCAGATCTATTCAATACAAAGACGGAAAGTAAAGGAGCAGTAATTGGGGGGTGGGAGGTGGGATCTGAC